TTGAAACCAGATGTGTTACTGCTTATCTTTTTATATGCAGTAACATAAAGTAACTTTAACCATAGTCTTTTGCAGGGTTTGCATGTGTGGGTGGCTAAGGGTCGGTGTGTTACTGTAGAGCAGCACAGCAGGGCCAGAGGAGGAGCTGCAGCCTGGCAGGAGTTACAGCTCTGGTGCTGTTATGCCAGTTCCCATTCTGAGAATCACTTCCCTAAAAACCCTTGAACTTTACTAAGTGATTGATTGAACGATTTCTTTTAATCATTCTTAGTTCAGAGAATGGGAATAGTATTAAAAGAAATCCCATAGTTGTGAGAAGAGCTTGTAATTTAATTCTGTGCCATTGGAAATATGGATTGTACTAATCCCCGTGTAGGGAATGACATACAGCAACTAATGGTATTGAATAGTAGTTCCGAATCATATAAGTTTCTTGTCTTGGCAGGTAATTTGACATAAATTGTTAATGTAAATCCAGGTTAGTGGGGAAGACATTATTTTACTAAAAAAGATAAACTGCTGATTAATTCAGTATAGAACTCAATTACAAATTGAAAGTGTCTCTGCGGGACGCCAGTACCCTAAAGACAGCAGATGTTGAATTGATACTCCAGCATATTTCACCCTGGTATGAAATATTAACGTGGTTTATTATACTGGTGGTGTATGATATCAGAGAGGGGGTGGGGATGAGCTTGTGCTCACAGGCAGCTTTCTCAGAATGGGAAAAAACTGTTATCTCTGAGAATAATAATTAGGGACTACTGAGCAGTTTATTTGGAAAGTTCTTAGCAGAAAATGGTTAGAAAAATAAACATTTACTGACACTTCAGTCACAATGAACCCGAACATAAAACACATAGGTCTAATTAAAAAAAAAAAAAAAGAGACAAGTTGTATCATTCTTATTCTGAGGCAGCACTAGAAACACAGATTTTTGGGGGGAGACTTGTTAAATCTGAGTGGTTTAAATGACACATGCCATCCCCTTTCCTGACAGCCAAACCACATCTATTCTTGCTGCTGGAGCCTTCCAGCCTTCCCTTACAAGAAATACAAAGTCCTTTGCTTCTCAGGCTTTTCTCTTTGGACTTAGAGCAGACTTCAGCATCTCTTCAGTTACAGACTGATCTCCACCCCAGCCCCTCACTCCTCTACACTGCTGATTCTCTTCCAGACTCTCATTATGCTCCTGTAGGTGCTTATGTCCTTCATGAAGTATTGCCTTCTTACCCCCAAATTCCCAACACTCCTTTATGGATTTATTTTTTTTTTGTCATTGTCTTTCCTGAAGCTTCTGATTTTTTTTTTTTATTTTTTATTCCCTTCTCTTCCCACACAAGTCTTGGGGATTCTCACTTTAAGTAGTATCAACTTTTTATATGATAGTATTTGAACAAACCTCATTGTAAAAGACTGTTATGATAAGTATTTGCATTTGTTTATTCTTAGAAAAACACTTGCTTATGTTCATATTATGCTGATTGTGCATTATATTTCAAATCTTTCTAAGAATTGCTTTGGAGAACTGCACTGTGTATTGCATCTCTAACAGCATCCTGGTGACCTGAAGAAGGGATTAATTTTATTTTGGTAAGAGAAAAAAAAAAAATCAGTAATTTCTAAAGTTTTAAAATCTGTAAGGGACATCTCCTGTTTAACTTACTTTTGAAGTTACAAAATGTGAGGAAATAATGTTCACAAAACCATTCCAGCTGCTCTCTTTCCTGCTAGAGCATAATGATAAACTTGTTTACCAGTTATTAGTGAAGACGGTATTAATACAATGTAGAAGTAACCTCATCTCCTGTAGGAAAGTCTCTTTTTTCTTTCAGTAGCACTTGAAATTTGGAAATCACGTAAGTGAGAAGAGAAAGTTATCCAAGTCATATACAAGAATAATGTGTAAAAGTTGCTGTTTGGGACTCATGGCAGAGCAGCTGTGAGAGGTAATCCATCAGCTCTGAGTGTCTGCAAACTGCAACTCTCTAGATAACAGGTTTAAAGTAAAGATTTAATACAGGCTCTATCTACTATGATGTTGCAGTGACAGTTTAAAACTCATTCTCTAAATCTCAGCAGACTTTATAGCCAGCAGTGGGCCCATATAAAGCTTAATGGCATTACAACACATAAATCATCTTTTAAAGATGCTACCAGTAGCACCAATATTAAATGCAGACAATTGTCTGTGTTATAAATAATTTATCAAACAGTGTTTCAGATTAGCCTTCCACGCAGAGTTATTTATTTTAGCCTTTACTGCCTATTCCTCAGGCACCCTTTGGAAGGCGCGTTGCCGGTCACTGTAATGAACTGGGCTGTGTCCCACAGCGCAGCTGTGCTGACCATTACAGCGCGCTGGACCTCGCTGCGCCTCTGCCAAGCGCTGCCCATTTGTCACACGCAGGTAAATGGAGCTGCACATTGGAGTCCAGGGACACATTGGGGCCTGTGTGATGGGGACAGACAGATCGCTCCATAAAGTGCTGCTTGTCACCGCTGCCTTGCCGTACGGTTCATCACTCGGCTGTAATCTCATTTAAGGAGCAGTGGGGGCCCCAGAGGAGGATATTCCCAGTTAGCTTGGTCTTTGCAACCATAAAGCAGGAAGTGCTCCTTTTATATGCTCTGAACTTTTAGGGTTTTTTAAGATTAATTATTACAGTGACTCATTGAGGGCCCTGTACTTGAGACTGTGTCAGCACTTTCTTGCTAACCCCCTATTTTGTGACTGTAAATAGTCCTCGCTGAACTCCATGGAGGATCTCTGTAAGGAATACTTTGAGTTTTTCTTGTGGCTACTCTGTTCAGCTTTCTAAATTGTAAAAAGAGGAGCAGGGAGCAGCACTGAGGCAGGATTTTCTAATGGCAATTATTCCATGTTCACAGACTGAGCTGCACTGTATCAGTGAAGGAGCTGAGGTTACAGCCTGGGCTCTCTGCCGTGGCTGCCTCAGTGCAGTTACAGCTCAGCTCTTCTGACTGCTATTGGGTACTTTTTTAACTATTTTGGTAACAGTAGGGTGATAGAGTACGTTTTTAAAAGCAAATCAGATTTAAATTAGAGCAATCTGTGAGATTTACAGTGTTAACTTCAAAGAATAAAATTAAGAGTAGAACAAACTGCACCAATCTGCTGTAGTTTTCCTAAGCTACTTTTCTTACCCTAACACTCATATAGCTTAAAATTACTCTGCTTTTGCTACCACTTAGTTCTTAAAACAGACCTACACATACTTCTTTAGTTTATTTACTTTCACTATAGTACTAAAATAACCTTAGTCTGCAACAGTCATTGACAGGCTTCTGTCAGTTAAGTGAGGAATTACTTGCTTATCAGGATTTTATTGCCCAAAACACTGAAGGAAAGCTACAGGAATTATTTTTGCAGCATGACTGTATTGTTCTAGTCAGCTTGTTATGAGGCGTAATTCAATTTTAATTTTTTTTAATAAAGAGTAATAGTTGTAAAACTGGGTGTGAAGGAAGAATTGCTGTTTTTTCTATAGTTCAGTGGAGGCTGTGCCCTGCTCCTACAGGTGTTGGAACAGGAATACTGTCATTCCCACCCTTCACAGGGGCACCAGGGAGTGCAGGGCAGGCCCCGGGCAGGTGGGTGGGAGCTGAGCTAATTTTGGGCTCCTCTTGAGCTGCACTCTGGGCTGGAGCAGCTGCAGCCGGGAGCTGCCACTCCTGGCACTGCTGCTGTCACGTGGCAGAGCCCTGGCACAGACAGGCTGTGAAAATGAGCCACACTGGAAAAAGCTGCATTTATCAAATTCAGCGTTGACCCCATCTCTTGTTCCTGGTGTCTGGTGGCAGAAGATTATTCCAAGGTGTGAAATAGCAGCAAAGCAATGAGGAGTGAGCCTGGGAGCCTCAACTTTCCAGCAGGATCTGCTGGGTGAGCTGAGCAGCCACTGCTGCACACAACCTGGGAACAAAACGAGTCCACACCTCTGTGTCTGTGGATGTACTCCAGTCTTACCATTTCTTTACTGGAACAGGCAGCTCTAGTCAGTGTTTTCAGGTATGTAACACACCTTTGAGAGAAAGTAACGGGTCTTATATTCTCTGGTTTGTACTTTCTAGGCTACTGAAAAGATTTGTGTCATATATGATGTATGCGTATGTCCATGTATATATTTATATGGACTCAAATCTGTTTTCCTTGCACTTTGACCCTTTGGCCAGGTGACAGGGGCACAGGGTCAGTGGGGCTGAGGGTGCAGGATGTCCCCTCACTGGTCAGGGCTCTCCAAGGCCTGTGGTGCCATGGGAAGGCTGCAGGGCACAGGCTGGACTGAGGGGCTCTGTCAGTGAAAACGTGTCCTTGGCCCAGGGACAGGCACACATGGGCACTGACAGAGGCCTGGCCTTGGCTTTGACACGATTTAAAATGTCACATCAAGAAAGTTGTTTTTGTGTAACATTTCTTCATGCTCCCCAGCCTGGGTTATAGCAAGGGCTGAGGCCATGTCAGATGGTTCCTGATAGTGCTGAGCTGAGTGTGGGTATTTTTTCCATCAGCTCCTTTGGAATAGCCCCAGCTATTCCTGGGAGCTGCAGAGGGAGCCAGTGCTGCTGGAATGACCGGGGGAGGCTGCCAGTGCCATCAATGCTCGTGTTCCCAAGGCCTCCACAGCAGCACCAGTTGAATGTGATCTGATCTGGTGTAATATTCTAATGGATATTTTGATGCATTTTAAATGTTTCTGTGTAAAAGATACTCGCTGAATGCTGTTGTGTAACATGGGCACTGTTGCACTCCAGTTCCTAGTAACTGTGTCTTAGTTATATCCATTGCTGTAGCAAAAGTTCTTTTGTTTCACTTAAGCGGTACAAACCTAACCAAGTGCAGTATTTTGTCTGGGGTACCTGGTGATTGAAGGGTTTGGTGTATCATATATTGTTCCAAGCTCAGCCTCCAGGCACAGGGACGCAGTGTCCTGGGAAATGCCAGCACCGAGGCAGTGACAGCTTTTTACCTTTCCCAGGAGGAGGAGGCCAAGCAGCTCGTGCGAGATGCCATCGCAGCCGGCATCTTCAACGACTTGGGCTCTGGCAGCAACATCGACATCTGTGTCATCAGCAAGAACAAGCTGGATTTCCTCCGTCCATATGATGTGGCCAACAGGAAGGGGGACAGGTGAGCGATCCTAAAGCTCTTGGGGGTCCCTGCTCTGCCTCGCAAAGCCTGTTTTCAGTAATACCAAGTTCTGTCAGTGATCTGCAGTCTGTAGGACTTTTAACTAAACAGCACAAAGGAGTGGCTGTAGCAGCAGCTGAACAGAGGCTAATACATTGGTAGAATTATTCTAGAGTTGCAAAACATAAGTAAATTGTTTGGTCTTTGGTTTTTAGCACAAATGTTCCTCACCACTTTGAGAGCATGCTGATTTTCCAGTTACACAGCAGTGTTGTAAAGAGTTTCCTGAAGTTGTTCGTTTATCTGAAACTCTGTCACTTATTGCAATCAATGTAGACTTTGCAGTAAGCACAGTTTCTTTACTTTGGACTTTTACAGGAAACTTCTAAAGCTGATCAGTTCTAGAATTTTAAATGCAGGTTTTCCTCTGTACCATCTTCAAGATTAATTTTCCCCCATTTCTTTATTAGGTTTGGTAGGTACAAGTGTGAAAAAGGAACAACTGCTGTTCTCACAGAGAATGTGGCACACCTGGAGCTCGAGGTGTTGGATGAGACAGTGCAAACCATGGACACATCCTAAGCCCTGTGGGTGCTCAGACAGCAGCTGCTGCAGAATAAAGAGGCTCTGCCCAATCTCCTCTGTGTGTCTGTACCTGGTGCTGTTGCTTTTCTGCTCCTCCTTTAGATCAGGGGAAGCTCCTGCAGCCCTGCAGGGCTCTGGGGCTGACCCCAAGGGGTCTGAGCCAGGTAAGAGCTGGGTGCCCCTCGAGGCACCAGCTGGCACTGTTTGTTACCTCACTCCAGACACAAAACAGCAGGAGTGAAACTGCTCTGCAGAAGTCTAATCTGATAAGTTTTAATTTAATAGAATGTAAGAAAATGGTGAACATTGGTGGTTCTGAATTGCTGCCCTTGTCCCCTCCAACAGACACTGCTCTCCTGCTACCAGGGTATCACTGGTCATCAGGAGCGGCTGATGTTACTGCTTCCATTTGCTGTAGATACAGGGCAGATCCAGCATCATTTTAAGTCTGATTGTCTTATTTATTCACCTCCACTTGAACCTTTAATACTGGACTTGTTTGTTTTTTAAACAAAGGTGTTTATTTTGGAAATAATTTTATTTATCTAAAAACGCACAATTGCAAAAAATTACCTTTTGAAATACATTTCTTTATAAGCACTACGAAATTTCATGTAGCAAGAAAGTGACCAGACTTCTCCAGATACTCATATTTGAGCTGAGCTTCCCTGGAAGCCGTGGCTCCAAGGAAAGCTGCAGTGGAACCAGAGAGGTTCAGGCTGAACCCTGGGAAGTGCTAAAGAAGCTGGTATAAATAACCAGGCTGGTTGGCATGGAAATGGTGGGAGTAATTTGGTGCCTCCACGATATTCTCCTGCTGATTTGAATTTCCCACATCTCTCCTGAGAGCAGCAGCCTCAACTTTCTGCTGAGACGCCTCAGTAAAATGGCACCTTGCATTAATGATACCAACCATATTCACAGCAAGTAATGGCTTTTCTTGGTACCCTATACAAATATTCCCAAATTTTACAGGAACTAGTTGAAGATGGCACTGCAGTTTTCCTTAAAGTAGAGAAAAGTAGGTTAAAAAAATCCACTAAAAGCATATATATATGTATGTAACCCCCTAACCCTAATCTTAGTTCAAAAAAGTCAAGGATTGTAAGCTTTCTTTAAAAAAAAAAACAACCACCAGAACAGGCACAGGCTGCATTTGAACTGTCACACACAAATGTATACATTGGCACAAGCCCCTGTCCCACGTGGAAGCGGCACTGGAGCAGCACAGGCTGCAGGATTTCCTCTGGAGCACCGAGTGCAGCCCTGCTCCTCCTGACAGGCACATGGAATGGAGACACTGGAACGTGAATCCACGGCTGTTCCTAAAGCAGTGAGTATTTCCATTGACAGTAATGAAACAAATCATTGATTCAATGAACAAATTTAGCTGGTTGACAATTTTCATGCAGTTAAAGACGATGACTCCTTCAGATCAGGTTGAGATTTTATAAACATTCACATTCTGTAATGAGCTTTCACAGTTTGAGAGAAGGGGCTGATCCTATGTGGAATTCCATACACAAAGCATTTAATTTATTTTTTAAAAATTTCCAAGTGTTTAAAACACTGCTAAAGTTCCACCGATAGTACCTGATGTACTATTGAATATGTAAAAGTCTCTGCACCAAAAATGAATTTGCTTTGATAAACACTGGTTTTAAACAAGAACCTGGAGGTAAAGAACCATTCCAGAAGGGAAAAATGAGGGAAAGGAGCAGTTCTCTGCAGGAGCAAGGCTTGTAGGGGTTTGCTTGGCATGTTTATCTTCTTTTCCCAGGTTCATGTTTAACTCATCTCCGACAGAGAAATGCATCAGCAAAATACTCTTAATTTTTCAATTTAAAAAAAAAAAGAAATCATGAAACAAAAGGGTTTCCCATCCCCCCAACCCTTCCCAGTTCCTAAGTCTGAAGAGGAGGAAATTAATAAAAACGTAAATGGCTGCTTTAAAATATACCAAGTAAAAACTGAATTTGCTAGTAACCATTTGCAGAAGAGGCAAAGTAGCAGTTATACAAATTACACAACATCTATGGTAATCCTTACATTAGTATAAAGTGATTTCACTGAAGGAATTATTTCAGTATTTCACATTACAGTTAAGATAGAAGGTCTGGCAAACGCTGAGCCCTCGGTAATAGCTGCTATCCTAGATTACACACGACAGTTTTAAGAAAGGACCCTTAAATGATCTACATCCGTAACATTATTGGCCTTAAAAATAAAAAATAAAAAGAATCACTTGCAATACCTCACAGAATCTTCATGTTAAAGCACGACCACCTGTAAGAGTCCTTGTCAAATAACCTGCAAATGATGGAGCCTCTGCTGCGAGTGCTCAACCTCCCACCTGTGTGACCTGGCACCAGTCGCTTTCAGCTGAGAAAAGAATTCAAGTAAGACTGAGCTGTGCTGGCTCCCTGGCGCGGCGCTCATGTGCTCGAGGTCCACACGTGCATTTGTTTGGCTATTTGGTGCACGTAACCGATGTCAGGCCTTTGATCTGGGTCGGGGTATATGCACATGCTGACCAGCTCCCGCAGCTGCAAGACAGCAAAACAGGCACACGTGAGGGAATCTGCTGCTGTCTCCCTAGAAAAGGCTGCGGGAATGTCTGCCCGAGCTCTGGAGGCTGCGCCAGGGGAGGGGAACCTCTTCTGTGCAGATGTTGCTGGGCAGAATCCAGGCATGTGTCTGTCACATGTCTGTGTGTCCCACCTCCAAAAGAGCCAGGAAGAACCTTTTTCACCAAATCTTAACTAATGATTTAAATCTTCCCCAGCCCCAAAGTATTTTACATCCTGAAAGAGGACCCAGCCTGTGCACCCAGGGCTGGGGAGAGCATAGGACAGAGGGAGGCACCAGTGGCACAAGCAGCACACAGACAAGGAAAGGAGGAAACCAGAGATCACCTCCAAGATGTGACTGAGCTGGGAGGTGAGGAAGGACCTGCCAGTAAAAGGGAACTGAGGGAAGGGGGAGCCCGAGCAAAGCTCTCAGGAGCAGCAGCTGTGCTGCCCCTCCTACACCCAGCACTAAACCCGCTCAAGCCTTTCAGCGTAACGAGTCTGACCAGCACCTGTGTATTTTAAGCTCCTGGACACAGCTATGAGACCCTGGTGCTTCCTGAAAAACCTTTATGAGGAAGAGAAACTGGTCATTGATTATGTTTAATAAATAAAATGCAGAAGGGCTGGAGTCTCCCCACCTCCCAGCCCTCTTTATTGTGCACATGAAAGATTGTAGCTTTTAATTACACAGACACTGAAAGCTGCTGGTACCCCTGAGGCACCAGGAAAAACAGCCTTGAGCCTCTGATCTTCTCACATCCTCCCAGTAGCCACAGTGCCAATTATTTTACCGGTAATTAAAAGCATGGCCATAGAGCTATCAGGCACACGGCTTCAGCCGCATTAACAAACATACCCGAGGTTTCCAGCTCTGGATGGAGCAAGGCCCAGGCCTTGCTCCCAACCCAGACCTGCTGCCTGGCCCTGCCCCATTCTCTAGTGACTTTGACCAGCTCAGGGCAGGGACATTGCTGCCTTCATAACCCTGAGACCCCAAGGACTGAACACATATCAGCCCTGACCACAAAACTCCCACAAAAAACTGAAAATGCTTCTAGAGCTCTGCCCAGGGCCTGTGCTATCAGTACCACTTGTTCAAACAGTAGCTGTGCTCCCCCCTGTGCATGCAGCACTGACACAGCCCAGGCCGTTCTGTCCTCACAAGCATTCAGCAGCACCTACAGGACCCAGTGGGCTGGGCCTGGATCAGCAGCTCCAGTTACCAGCAAATTTGTTCCCAATATGGAAAAGCAATCCTGGCTGGATCCCAGCTCCTCCTCCCGCTTCCAGCAGCCTGCAGTTGCTCACAAGGGGATCTGGACTGGGTGAGGTACAAAAGGCCACAGAGGATAGGAACCATCCGGAAAGGAAATTAAAGCAGGGGCTCTGCCCCAAACACTGCCTTTCTTCTTCTTTCTTGTTCCAAGGAACCACAATGGATGGTGCTGGTGCTGGAGCCCTGTTCTAATTCCCTGTTTGTGCTGTTCCAGTGAGCACCAGCAGCAGCTGAGAAGCCACAGGCACAGCCTCCACCAGCATCCCGTTAATAGTTCATGAACCATCTGCAGTTCTCTGGGACCTGGCGCCTTTGAGTGCTAAACCATCCTTCTCACCCTGACTGTATCACTGCACTACACACACTCCTTAGCACTGCCAGAGGGAAGCAAACAGACAGTAATTGTAAAGACAGGAAACACATCTGTCAACTTACACTAATTCCTGCTGCCAACAGGCATACCCTGAAATGCAAGCTGCAGCAGCACGGCAAAGGCCCAGCAGAGCTGGGCGCTGCTACAGAGCATGGGGCAAAAATATTTTAAAATTCACTTCTACAGAGTAGTTCTAAAAGCATTGTTTTGCATGAGTTACTTGGCAGGAAAAATGAAGCAAAAAGTGAAGTGTGGTGCAGGGTCCCTCACAGGGTGGAGGCCAGACCGGCTGCGCTCGATATTTCCCAGCATCCTGCCTCCTCCTCAGGATGCTGAGGTACAGTGAAACAAAAGCAAAACCCCATAGGATATAGTGAACATTTAGAATTCCATTAGCCATTTCCTTTCAAATAGAAGGCAACTGTAAGGAATGAGGAGGTTAAGGAAAACCAGCTGCTTTGTCTAGGTGAGGCAGAAAAAAGTCAAGCTCATCTTGAGAGGCCCTGAGGAAACCCAACACACGTGTCTGCAGCTGGGCGAGCAGGAATTGGGACATTGGGTTTATGCACTGGTTCAGATGCTGCTCCCCATCCCTCATATTCAGACACAAAAACCTGGATTTAAAAAGCCCCCATGCAGCTGCTGTAGAGGTGCTTATTGCATTAAACTAAATGGCTTTTTTTCTTAAAATTAATCCTTCCCCACTTCGTCACACACTGAAGTTTTCATAAAAAAACGTATCAGTGCTCTTTTGTGAAATGTTTTATGGGAAAGGGAACAAGGGAAGGGCTTTCCCATGGCTTACTGCTGATTTCTGCCAGCATCAGAGACTTTCAGTTCCACAATATTCCCCACATTAAGAAATCTTTTTTGTCTTGATTTAGCTTGTCAGTATTCAGACACCACAAAAGTAATTTGTTCAGCCAGGTATCCAGGACCCCCTGGCCATCCCCTGTTCTTCCCTAGATGTGGGGTGTTCTCCTGGGCTCTCTTTCCCTGTGCGTGGAAAAACTTCACTGCACCTTCCCATTCCCCTACAGGCACACTCCCAACTTACCTTTTCAGAATAATGTTCAGCTGGAAGAGGTGGGTAGTCACATTGCTCTATTTTTTGGCAAAGAGAAAACAGGTTCATTTTATCTCCATAGAAGGGACTTTGCAGAGCTGCCATCTGGAGAGAGAAAACCAGAAAATATTTCAGAAACAAAGGATTTGAGAGCCCTCGGTGCTGCCAGTTTCCAAGAGCCAATTCTGTTCTCTGCCAATGAGCAGAGCAAGGGATGCTGCTGCTCCCAGCCCAGGCTGCTCCAAGACCCCAACAGCTCTGCAGCCCCTGTAGGGCTGCTGCCAGGCTCTGCCAGGCTCCCCAAGGAAAAAAAACAAGAAATGGGATGCTCAGACCACCAGCCCCATCAGCAAGAACTCAGCTGGCTCTAAGACAACTCTGAAACCCTCTCAGATACAATCATCTCTCTCTATCTTTGGGCATTTAGCTGCTTAGAATATGAAGAATCTTGTAAGCATGAGCAATGTACTTCATCTTTTAATAAAACCCCAAAACAACCTCAAAACAAATGTATCTCCTGCTGGAAATCTGCTATTTAGAAAAGAGTATCCCAGGCAGATTTGAGAACAAAACCACTGAAAATGTTCTTCATCAATCTGGTCCTTTTCCTCTTTCAGTTTCATCCCGGGGCCAGCTGAAGTTACTGCTTCTCACTACGGATTAAGGGGGTTATTTGATAATTAATGGTCTGTTGCTCATTACCTGTGCAGTGGAAGTGTCTGGAGAACTCTGGCTCTTTCTGACATACCGTGAGCTCCCAGCAGAATTCAAGTGAGCCAATACCAAATCCTCCAGTCTATTACCCCGCAGTGAGGAACCAAGACTGATGGATTATTAGTGATTAGACAGAGAAGCAGTTTTGTTTGGGCTGGATTCCCAGAGGCACTGCAGGAAGGGGCTGCAGCCAGGGGGTGTTACCAAAACCTCACGACCACTAACACACATCCAAGTGCTCAGCAATGCAGGACACACCAAGTTAACTCGGTTTAAAACATACACCTATCTTTTAAAGAATTTGAAGTTACTATGTTTCTTCCTCACTCCTCATCACTATCAGGAGTTACACTGAGTTACTCCTCACAAACCCACAGACCTGAGGGTGAAGAGTCTCCTGACAGGATCCCAAAGAACCCAGCACTGGGCGAGAACATTTGGAAGATTTTTTGAAGGCAAAAGGTGAAGTGTCACTGATACTTCATTACTGACATCACAGTAGTAGGAGAAAAAATACAGAGTCCAATTAGAGACTCTAGTCCCCAAGTAGGAGTGAGAGCAAACTGTTCTCAATCAGTTAAAACAAACTGGAGAACCCAGCATGGACTGTTCCAGGGAGAGCAGTAATGGGGGCATTAGGGAAAACACAGAAAGCAAGCAAGGGTTAAACAAGTCTCCAAGATCTCAATACACACATCAATAATGCCTGGGAGGTTGAGAGAGGTTTTCCAATTCCCATTAACTTTTCATTCCAGGTTTTCAAGTGCTCATGTGCAAAGGGAAGGAATGAAAAGGAAACACTGTGGGGTTTAGGATGGTAAATGCAGGGAATTAAAGTGGAAAGAGAGAGCACCCAGTTGTGACTGCAGCAGTCAGGGCTGCAGGGCCATGACCACAGGCACTCCAAGTACCTCACTAACTACAGTTTGTGATGCTACGTTAGGGTTTGCTCCTGACATTTTGATTAGAGCAATTACCCCAGGCCAGGCAGATCTCCATGGAAAACGCCCACCACGCAGCATGACTGGTTCAAACATCCAGGGATGGGAATCCCTGTTAGTGTTTAAATTGATCGTCTTGCCAGAACTGCTGAAGTCATTGCTTGTAGCTACATTCTGGGAATTAACAACTTATTTTTATCCCCTCCAAGTTATCTTGCTGACAGATATCTACAGGAAGTGAGGGATGAAGACAGTTACTACTATATTGATAAGATTTAATAAAAATCACTGTATGATTATCAATGTCAAAGTTAAGTGGTGCTATGTGGCATCATGTCCCAAAGCCCTCAATGTTCCCTAAGTGGATTCCAGTGGACACACGTGTCTCTGAAGGCAATTTGTACATTAAATCTCTCTGCAGCTTATCTACACAATCTATCTGGAGAAATATCAGAAGTGACTCATACCCAAACAAGCATCCTTTCCTTACTTCTAAGCCAAATGGAAAAACATTCTCCTTGTAAGACATTAGAGTAGATAAAACAGTTCCTTCAAAGACATGCAGATCTGATGCTTAATTTTCAAAATTCTAGAAAGTTTAAGAAGTCAAGTAGTTGTTTAACTCCTGAACATAGAATTGGTACCTGTCCAGTCCTCCCTGGAATCTGCAATATCTCACAGCTCCTGTTCCCTAAGTTAAGGCTTACCTACGTAGGAAGGAAATTTAAAATCACTTCACATGCCAAATCTTTCAGATGTTACCGTAGTACTGCTACTCCTACCAGAGAATTATGTTTAGTGTGCAATTAATTCAGCTTCTTGAAATACAAGGAGTACCAAGACTCCTGTGCCATAAGGGGACCATATTGCCTGCAACAAAAACATATCTTAGCACAACGCTAAATATTTCTCTCTGCATAAATCTGGAATCCCATCTCTGGGAGCTCAGCCTGGAGTGACTCAGAGCAACCCAGCACTGCAGCAGCACCCGAGTCCAGCTGGGGCCACCCCGACTGCTCCCGACAGACCTGGCCAGGCCAACACCCCAAGGCAGGGCCACCAGCCTCAGCTCAGAGCCTTACAGATGTTACAGAAAATTTACTTTTATCCCCTCATGTCCTACAATGTTTGCTTAATGAACCAGCTGAAGTGCATGCTCAGCTATAAGTAGTTTTCACATCTGATGTGCTCACAAAATTAATTACATTTCTGTTTATTCTCTAATTTAGTGTGATTACCAAAAGTTGTGTTGAGAAGCAAAATGTCATCAGTTCCCATAATGTGTTAACAAAGAGGATGTGAACAATATTCTTGACTAAATATCCCAGAGATTTTTAATTCTCTGGGTGGGGATAAAAGTTTTCTAAATGCTGGCATGCACTGTTGCTTGAATAGGAAGAAGCATCCATCTACAAAAAGATTTTGATTATAAAGGAGTACAATACTGTTTGATACTCTTTGATCCCTGCTAAAAATGGAATCATAAAACCAAAAGCACAGTTACAAAATCATAACACTTATTTTCAGAATAGATGTAACAGCTTTTAAGAACCAATTGCACACTGGACAGTTCATCCAAATGTGTCTGCTCTGAGTTTGCGCCTCAAGCTGTAAGACAATGTACAATTAGAAAAACTTCCAGCCATAATGTAGTAGTTAGAGACACAGATTTCACATTACATAAAACCTCTGTTTTTCTCTATTGGAAGTTTCCAAAATTAAAATACTGCAATTGGTCAGAACTCCATTTAAGAAACCAGTAAGTTGCATTCAAATGAATTTGCTATTTTTAAAACAAATGGAGTCAGGAAAAGCTCTGACTATGCTGCCCTAGCAGAGCTCTGCTCCCAGCAGGAAGGAGGGATGCAGTGAGCTGGCTTTTCATGGCTTCGTCCTCCACTTCTGCTGCGACCCAAATTAACTCTGTGCAAGTGCTGGGTGGCACAGTCCCTTCATTCATGCTCAGAAGGTGCACAATAACCACAAAACGAGTCAGCTTTTTCTAAGGATTCTCAGCAAGTTGACTACAAGCAGTCTGATCTACTCAATTCCTGTCCCAAACTGTGTGGTTCTGGAAAACCCAGGGGGAAAAAGTGAGAAGATACTTGCCTCGTACAATAAACAGCCCAAAGACCAGATATCAGACTTAAAGTTATAGCCGTTCTCGTGTATTCGCTCTGGGGACATATAGTAGGGAGTTCCCACTGCAAAAACAAACAAACCTGAGGTTAATGTCTTACAGGTGACTGTGCAACCTGTGTCATACAGAGAGAGACTTCATTAAAGGCTCAGGTGTAGCACAAATTGCAGATTAGAACCAGACATCACATACAGAGCAGAGAATGGTGAACACAGTTGAAAATATCTTCTGTATTTCTGACATGTGGGAAACGTTTTGCTTCCCTTTGCAGGCTCCCAAGAACCTTCAGAGTGTCTTGGATGGGCAGAGCCACTGGAAGGGATCATCCCCTTGGCTCACCAGACTGCACTGGGGGTCTTGACTGTGACACCGGAGCAGGACTCAGGGCCAGCACGTGTTCACCTAACAGGGCACAGAGTGTCACAGGGGCACCTCTGACAGGTCACCAGGACTGAAGGGGACACACTAAGCCCAGCACCAGCCAGGAATGCAAAACCTGTCTGAAAAAAACAAGATACTCATTCCAAACTTTAAAAACCTGCTCCAACTTGCAGTTATGTCAGAAGCTGGAAGATTTCTATGTACTTTCAAAAGTCTGTATTTTATCAAAAGAAATTTGCTCAGTATTTTGGACAGAAGTTACAGGAAATTATTAATAAATTCCTTACCTCAAAAAGGTTCTTTTTTAAATCCTAAATAAGTTTCAGTTGTGGTACTGAAAATACAAGACATCCTGGCAGTCTCAACTACATCAAATAATCCTCAGATACATCATTTATTAAAACATCGAAGGACTGTATATGCTCTTTTCTCCTGCTTCCCCTGCTTGTCTGTCCCCTGTCAATTTTTTTTTTTTTCTTTTTCCTTTTGGCATTCCAGTTTATCCTTCTCCTAATTAAAGACCTTTCCTCACAAGATGGCAAATGTTTAATTTGCCTGTAACATTCAGTTTACAATTTCTCCATTTGAAATGCTGCCTGAAGACAGCTGAAGGACTAATAAGCTGAAGGATGATGCTGGAGGTGGAAGAACAGCCACCACCTTCCCCAGCACTCCTATGGAGGGATCACTGTGGGAAACAAATGAGTTCTGGGACATAAACCAACAATCTTGAGAGGCAAAACCCAGGCCCTGGCACCTGCACAGGTGACCCAGCACAGAGAAAGTAATTTATTTGGACCCTCAAGATGTTCAGCAATCAGCTGCCCTGTGTGATGAACTCAGTTCACGCTTTCAGGTCATTCCCTTCAGAAATTAGTTCCCTTTCAATGTGAAGCATACTCTAATGAGAAGTTACATTTTTGCAAATCCTATGAAAACTACAACACAGGAAAAGTAACACAGGGAGATCACTTTGTTTCCATGCTCAGAAAGCACAGGTCAGCCTGGCACACCCCAGACCTGGCTGGGTTTAATTGCCCATGACAGGCCCCTGTGTAGGGAGGAGACCAGAGCCCTGCCAGTAGCTCAGGATTTTTATACTGGACTACACAGAGAAACTTCCCGGGACGCCAGGAGCAGACAAGATTCATTCAGAGGCTTTCCATGGCTTTGTCCCATGTGCATGCAACACCCACACTATGGGCAGTACAGCTCTCCAAGTAATTCCCACATATCTGCCAGGTTTCTGTACAAGAACTGACTTGGCTGGGATAGCACTGATTCATTTTCCTGCTTAAAAATATGCAGCTGCAGAAGAAACGATGATTCATTCCAGGAAGTTGTGGAAGACACTTCTGGAAGTCCCCACTGAGCAGCAGCGTAAGACACTTCCCACCTGCAACTCCTCCTTGCTGCTGCTCTGCTGGCCATGCCAGGAGCTCTGGGAGCTGTGGAACACCCGGCTGGCAGGAGGAGCAGCAGCCCCACCTCTGCCCCCTCAGCTCCCTGAAGTGCCAGGGGAGCTGTGGCTGCTCTGGCACTCTGTTATTCCAGGTCACTGCATGGGCACCTCGGAGCAAATAACGTGAGGACTCCGGAGCTGGGCCCCGCTGCCGTGGCTCTGCCCCACTGTCGGTTCTGATCACGCCTCTGGTACCGTGCCAGTGGTGACAGGGCAGTGGCACAGCTGTGACAGGGCTGTGGCAGTGGCTGTGGCAGGGCTGTGGCAGTGGCTGTGGCAGGGCTGTGGCAGTTGGCTGTGGCAGGGGCTGTGGCAGGGGCTGTGGCAGGGGCTGTGGCAGGGGCTGTGACACAGCTCAGTGCGTCACCAGCCCGCTGCAGCCCATTAACGGCTCCGGGAGCGCTCCACGCCTCAGCTCATCTCGCAGAGTCCACCTTGCACATTTACCTATCATTACTGTGGTCTTGTCAGCAAATGTACAAACAAGCAGGTCTCTGCGTTTCAGAGCCGATGCATTAATTTTTAAATAACTGTCATGATAAAAGACTGACAAGGCCAATTCTCTTTATGGCCTGTCCAACATTACGTGGGAACCTCCTGTAATGAGCATCTTCTAGAAAACCGCACAAGGCTTCCAGTGCAATCAGTCAGGGCTCACCATTGCATCCCATTAGTCAATTTGACAAGAACAGTCTAATCCCAGACTATTAATCAGAAACTTTCTTCAGCATTTGCCCTGCTGAAAATACAAAATATTGCTCAGATTCAACATTATTCACCCGGTGGTAGAGTAATGCATTTGGAGTTATAAAAACCATAGGGTAGACTATGGTTAAGGAAGGAGTCTCCTGCTCTGTTCCTGGAAGCTGGAGCCCTTCACTTGAACATCAGCCACTTCAGTGATGCCAGAGAATTCCTTCTCTCCCAGCACTGCTCACGAGCAGCTACAACAGTCTTGGCATGGCTGCAACGTCCAAGGTAGGGAAATGCTAATTATTCCCAGTTAAGGTTAGGAGCAGAGTCTCTTATTTCACCAGAAAAACACAAGGGCAGTGGTGGCAAAGTTATTCCAGAAATGGAATTCAAATTCCATTCCTCTCACATGTGCAAACACAGCTCAGCCACGAGCGATGCTTCCCAAGAAACTCATCCCTGCTCATCCCCTGCTCATGGGCACAACCAAATCTGATTCACACTTTTAGGAGGCTCTCAGAGTCTCATTCACTGAGTTTGATGTAACCCAAACAAGCCTTGCACAGCAGAGTCTCTCCCACACCTTCACACAGACTGCATTAGACTGAAGTCAGTGCAGAGTATTTCCAGATATTTCTACAGGCTCTATACATTGAGGTTTTTAAATGCCTACATAGAAAACAAAAAACTGCCCAGTTTTTCAAATAGCAATAAAGTTTTTCCAGAACTTAGCTTTAGCATGAGCAACACTAGTGCATGTTCCATGAGCACACATATGGCTGAAAAAAGTATCTGAGGATGTTTTAGTGCTATCTGGCCATGCAGACACAGCAGGGAAGCAATTCTGCTGGAAAATGAGAGTCTGGATCTCTCACCTGGCTCACCCCCTCCATCCACACTTGTAGGTTACCAAGAAATACATCCAGCCTTATTTAAAAGGAGTCAAGTTCTCAAGTATTCCTTTCTAAATTTTTGCATTCTTTGAGGTGTATTTCCAACAAGGCACCTCAGATCTTTTCCCAGGAGAATTTGGGAACTAGCTGAAGTAAAACTGTGCAGACTTTAAATTCCTTCAAATTTCTGTGTGAGGTGCCCCCACTAATTTTCATGCGGGAAGCAAAAACAAAAAAGTAGATGAAATCTACTTACTCTTAGAGAAAAATGATATTTTGTGCATAATATTGCAGCTGTTGTTACAAGACCTGTTGCCCTAAGCTCTTTTTTTTTTTTCATTATTACTATTGAATCACACAACCCTACCAAACTCTTTTACAGTTCTGTGATTGGGTTGCGTTTTTTTGGTTGGCTGGTTGGGTTTTTCACATGTAAACAGTACAATCCACCTGCAGCAATTCTGCATCTCTCTTTTCTTCCACAAAAACTGCACTAGAGGCAAGCCAAGAACTCAAAGCACATACAGTATTGGCCAGTGACATTTTCAGTGGATTTCTTGTGTCCATTTTGTTCTTACCAAGTCCTGATTACCAGCCCCTCCAAGCCCTGGGATTTTGTTTCAGATGGCAAACTGACTTGGCAAGGAAAAGCAAAAAAAAAAGGCAGACAAATGGTCCATTTATTGACGAGCTCTTCAGTTCCTCCCTGTTCACCCTCACATCCAAGCAGGAACCAGAAGGAACGTGTAACACCCCATGTACTCCAATCCAGGGCTATTGGCACGTTCTAAACTGGGAAGATTTGACTTACGTGAATCTCCCAAAAGGAAAATCTGCTCCAAGTATATTCTTGTCCAAGAATAAATAATAAATCATCTGCTCCAAAACAAGACTACTCTGTGTAAAATTGGTTTCTTTTGGGGTTTGGTTGGTTGTTTTTCTTATTCCTCTCGTTTCTTCAAAATGTAAAGCCAGTCAGGAGCTCTGGATAATGCCAAGTTTATTTGGCTAAAAATGGACATTATACCAGTTCTCAAAAAAGTTATCCATTGTAATATTAATGGAAATTGTCTGAATTTGTTACTGCTCCTATTAAAACAAGAGCTACCAGCTTAATGTTGAGTTTACCAAAGTCTAAAATAAGGGAAGGAAGGTGAACCACCATGTTGTAACAAGTAGTAAAATTCACCTCAGCTACACTCAGCACCTTTAAAACATGAATTTGCTGGTAAGGCTTGTACAGGAAGAGCTCATCCTTGTGGAAAAGCATCTCCTGTCTTCTATCCAGGGAAAAGGGGCAGTGGCAGCTGAGGTGGCGCCCTGTGAACTCCCGCAGCCCCAGCCAGTTCCTACTGCCTGTCCCAGCGCTGCGAGAGGCTGGAGGTGTTCGTGCTGCCCCACTGGCAGGTGTGCCTCTGGCAGGAGTGCCTGTGGAGGTTTTCCAGGGGCCAGGGCTTTCCCTGCCCCACGGTCTCTGTCTGCCCCGGTGCTGCTCCCGGCTCCCGCCAGCGCTCGGAGCACGGCGCTCGCCGGCATCTCACGAGCTGTGTACAGGCAAATCTTTCATTTTTCTTTCATTACCTCGGCATGTACTGTCACTTAATTTTTATGTATGCAATCCTTCCTGACAAATATGATCTGCTGCCTGGTAATTCATCTGACGTTCATTCTGTTCCTTGCTCTAATTACGGCTCCGTTCCCGCCGTGGCGGCGGGCGCTGCCGAGCCCCTGCTACACCTGTCAGCCGGGTCGGGACTGCCTGATGGCCTTTCATGCCAGTCTGCTGCTAGCAAATACAACCAAAGGGAGAAATGAGATGAATATATTTGCATAAGCCACACATTCAATTCATGGGTCAGCAGCCAGAGAAATGATGGTTCAGGGCGGTTGCCGGGGCAACGCAGCACCGGGAAGGGCCTGGGCTCCGCGTCGCAGCCCAGCCCGCGCGGCCGCCCCGCTCTGGTGTGGGTGATCGGCCCTCACAGCTCCTTCAGCCAATGTCTTAATTAAACCAAACCCAAGATCAGTCGATTTCCTGCTGCTACAAAACCTCTACCTCTGGCAAATTATCAAAAAAACAGAAAGCAGCTTCACATCTGCGTATTTTCTGATTGTTAAAATATTCTTTTTCACTTGGATCCAAGTACTGCTGGAAATGGAGATGTGTCCATCCCTCCCACAACCCCTCCAGTCTCACTCACTGCTGCTCCCTCAGTGTCCTGCACCTCTCACCTGTCTGCAGGATGCTGCTGCTGTGAGGAAGGGCAGGGTTTGTGCGCCAGGGACTGAGCTCTTCCTACTCCAGCTTTCTCAATTAAGAGAGAGCAGCCCTGGTAAAGGTCACAAGCTTGGCTTACATGTGCAGCCAGTTTCCAAGCCCCAATTTATTCTTATTAATATAATAAGTGCAGCAGTCAAACTGGATAAGATCATATAATTAGACATGATCATATTTTGGCCTGTTCAGATGATGTGATTTTAACTTCCTGTGAAAAGGATTTATTTTCATCTATTAAGTATGGTGGGGATATATCCTAGGACAGCTTTTGATACAAAGGGAAATCTGAAATCTCCTATTTTATGAAACTAAGCTATAGAAATGCTTCCTATCTTTTAAGCACATACAAAACAAGGCAGGTAGCCCAGTGCTGCTGGCCATTATCAGCAATGAAATTTGTTCACATCTAAGAAAGGATTCAGCAAGACACACTCAGCATTGGAAATTGCACAAACACAAATAGCAAAACAAGTATCATGTGTTCCAAAGTCAGCTGAGTCAGTTCGTTTAAAAGAGCTTAAATATTGCACCAAAAGCCAAAGTTCCTTCAGTGCTCAAAAAATTCAGACCCATTAATAAAAATGGAAAATCAGCCACCTTTCAAGAGGTTACAGACACAATTATGAAATACTTTATACTGTAAGACTTGAAGAATGAACTGCATAACTATGCAATTTTCTATAGCACTGGAATTAATGTTAATGGTAAAAATGAGGAAGACAACCTTGAGATATGTGGAAGACATGAAGAAAAGCTGGATATTTAAAACATAGGCCAGATTTCAAGTCCCTTTTTGGGACAGATGAGCCATGAGAGCTCACCCACCTCAGGCAGTCCCAGCCCCAGTCAGGGCAGAGTCCTGACCAGCAAAGGTAAAAAGGTGAAATGTGTTGGGGGTAACAGTGAATTCCAGCAAGCACAGTGCAGTCAAAGTGCTGTCTAGAGTGGAAACACAGCCTTTGCTACGTTTGCTGTAAAACACACACCAGGCCAGGCCTTCCAGAAAAACCAGATTTTAAACCAGAAGATACCCATTAATGCCTATAAAGAGCATTTAAAACACAGATGGCTGGAAATGCAGTCCCCATCCCCTGACTCCCACTGGTGTCACCATGGGAGGATGGACACCCTGTGTTTGAACATCAGAGCTGACAGTGCATGCCAGGCCCTGCTTAACGAGTACCAGCTTACCTAAGGAATGTGCTGCAGTGGTTTTAGAGCTAAAAAACCGGCCTAATCCAAGATCTCCCAGCTTCACCACCCCTGTGGCTGTTATAAACACGTTGGCTGGTTTTATGTCTGCAAGAAGAAAAAGGTAAAAGGTCAAAGCCACAAAAGGTTATTTGGTTCTAATGCTGCAATAGAAGCATTGCCTGGAGCGCTCACGGTACAAAGAGGCTCGAGCAGAACCGTGTTTCTTTAGAGCTTTGATAGGCTCAATCTTCCAAGGCTTCGAGCTCTGCACAGACACAAAAATCAGAGTGTACTTCCCAGCACACAAGAAATACCAATGAGGGAAAATGTAGGAAACAGCTCAATAGAACAGAGGCAACCTCTTTAACTGCTGGAAATCAAAGAAATGAGCCCAGTTCTCTTTGGGAATGATCACGTTCCACAGCAAACTGCACTGCCCACCACCATCTCCTCATGCAAAGGGTTATTACTGTTCCACATATACAAAAATTCTGGGCTCGACACAGCCCAGCTGGTTCATGGAGGGTAGAAATCCCTACAACCCCAGTTTCCCAAGCAGTCATGTCAGAATGGAGTTAGAGGCTCTTTCCTCACGTTAGAGCAGACTCTACATGAGAGGCTCCCCATTTCAGCCACCAATTACAGACCTAATTCAGGTACAATTGATACACTGCATCAGGGGATGTGTAACGGAGAAAAACTGATAGCACATTGCTGAAAAATATAGTGAAGAATTCCTTCCTTCAAAGGAGCAAGGAAATAACAAGCAGCCGAGATGGGTGCTGGTGCCTTTTGAGAAATTTGCATTTCTTGAGTCCAGTCCTTCCCAAAGCACTTCACTGACACTGATAGCAATAGTGTAATTTTTTGGATAGAGCTCAAAGTTCTAAGATGTTCTGAGACAAGAGATTTAAAAATAATTAATGAAAATTGAGAACAGGTTATGAGAGCACGGGACGTATTTGTATTAATATTTCAGAAAAGCCTGCAAGACAGAAAAACTCTTCTCAACTCTCTAAGGTCACAGCTAATATAATGAAGACTATTTCTTAGAGTTCACTGTATCCAGGAGTCTCAGCATTTTATTTCTGACACTTTTCTAATGGCAAGTTTGACACTTCTACTTAATATCAGTGTCTGGAATACAAAGCAGCTCATCTTCCTAATACCACACTCACTTCGGCCTGAATGCTTTAACAATGAGGCAGAGACAGAAGGAGAAATCCATCTCGCAGGCTCCAGCCTCTCTAAACATGCATTGGCTGAACATCAGCATAATTGTTTTTGAATGTAGGCGCTTACTAATTGGAACATTATATTATTATTCAGTGAAAAGAGACTGAATTAATGTTACCTCTGTGCATCACCCTGCGGGAGTGCATGTGTTCCACTGCACTGCATAACTGCACAAAATATTTCCACACTGTCCTTTCCGGGATTAACCGTTTCTGCTTTTTAAAATACTGTGGGAGGAAATAAATAAAAGATCAGTAAAAAAGCAACATATTTGACTCGTTCCTGGAATTGTGTTTGTCAGCTGCAGGTTGCTTGTGTCTTCCAGATCTGCAGCTGCATGACTTTTCTTCTGATTAGCTTTTAACTCCTCTGTGTGAAAACTTCGATGCAGTTCACTAATTAACAACTATTATGAAAAACATGCTTAAATAGGTTTGACATTTTTGAATGGACACAATTATGATTAGCATTAATCTCCTTAATTACCTTGCAAAACATATTTAATGCCTCAAAACAACAAATGTCTCAAATATTTTGCCTTAAGAAACAAAAGACCATTAAAAACCCCCTTGTAAACATTCATTATTGCATTGTCTACTAACAAGGATAAGGAAATCTGCTTCCCTTTTTTAAAAGATGGCCAGAGCATCAATAAAGTATCCATGTTTCTTCTGTGATCAGGTAGAATAATATATTCTATTTCATGCACAATAGGAATAGCAAATGAAGGGCACTCTCTAGTGAGACAGAGCCTCCTGATCAGCTGGGTGTGCTCAGGCAGCGCCGAGTGCAGCCGGGCCCCATCCCAGGGCCCTGTGGTGCCTCCGAGCTGCAGAATAAGGGCAGCACAAAGCAGCACCACAGAGTGCAGCATGAACTGCAACACTGAACTCTCCTTCAGCCCACGACAGGAGAGAAGAGCCAGCTGCACACTTCAGGGAAGGCCAAACACGATGGACCTTCAGCTGCTCTCCTTCCTTTGCAGGGAGTACACCAGCCGTGCCTGGCACCACGCTCCGGCATCCCAGAACTGCAGGCTTCGCATGGCTGCTCCCTGGCTTCTCTACAGCCAGAGCATTAACAAAATGCTTCAACACTTCCAGAGGTTTCCCACTGCTCCTCGAGCCCTGCCACACGGGGTGGCACCGGGAGCGCCGTGTGCCCTCTGCCTCGCGGCAGCTGCGCATCCTTTGCGGCGCACCCATCACAATTCCCATCTGCAGGAATAAAGGAAGGGAATGGCTTGCTGCCCCTTTCTGCGTCTCGTGCTTTCCCCTCTCAGCACTGACATCTGATGTCCGTTGTCACATTCTCTATTTTATGTGAAATGCTGTTACCAGTTCGTGTTTGACTCAAGCAATGGCAAATTTTCTTTTGCAGATCAGCTGTGAAGGGGCACGACTGTGCAATTCCCCAGGCAGCAAATCTGACAGATTGCAACACTCTCAACCCAAAACTCGAGAGAGAGCACAGAAGAATTACAGAGGGTGAGGGAGAAAGTGTTATATACACAATAAAATTATTTAATTCTCATTAAAATATTTAAGAGTGGGTATGCAAGACCACAAGTGATAATTTTCTAAATGTCATGTCCAATAAGATTTGCCTGACATTTACAAGGAAGTCCCAACTCTCCAGTGGGTTTTCCTGCAGCTCTACATCCCTCATAAATAATGCAGGCACCGGGGCGTGACAGAGACAGGCCCTGGGTTTATCACCCTCACACCTTTCCAGCGCTGTCAGGGCTGTTCCACTGAAAATCCACACAGGAGCTTCAGCTCCTGGGGAGGGGAGAGGGTGGCACGGAGGGGCAGTGGGGAAACCCCCCCTGCTGCACTGGAGCTGTATTTAGGAGGAAGCTTTTGTTCCCTCTTGGGTTTAGGGCTTGGTATTTTTTTTTTTTTTGTACCTGTTAGAAATTTAAAAAAATTCAATTCCTAGATTTGCATCAGTTGAAAAACTTCATTTATAAGACCTTGATAAAAATCAATGCATCTTCTTCATGTCTGAAGTACAGAGGGAACACAGAGCTGTGGACACTTGAAGCCAGCACAGCCCAACCCTGGGCAAGGCACCAACCCAAGACTCTACTAGTCATGTTTTGGAAAATGTAAATCTTATTATAATGACACAAAGTTATTTTTAAAAATTAAATATCCAACCCTGATAAGCAAATTAATATATTTGTCAATATTTTTAAACTAAAAACTACAGATGTCTAAAAAATACAAGTATTTCATATAATGAAATCTTACCACTCCGTAGGTAAAAGTTTTGTAAGCTAAGATTGCAAAGTCAAGCCCAGCAAGGTCTCACACAGCCCCAACTCCTGCTCTCACAATCCTTGGGTTTTTCCCATCTACAACCACCACCACAAGAAGATGTTTCCCAGGTGGAAAAGGGCAGAACCCAGCAGAAGCCCAAGGAAGCAGGGGGGAGGACAAAGGCAGAGCTGCTGCCCAGGAAGAAGGAGCAGCTGTGCCCCCCAGCTCCCCGAAGCTGGGGCAGATCCCCCTTCCCCTGGAGGGAGGCTGGACTGAGATCTGGGGCTCTCCCCATGAGTGACTCTGCCAGCTCCCTGCTCCCAGCACTCGCCCAGGGGCTCTCCTGTGACACCAAGCAGATTTTCCTGGATCCTGCAAATTTAGCCATTGACTATGGACTGAATGGGTAACTTGTTTGACAGCCTTTGGCCTAGTGCCTCATAGCTCTGCTGGCAAAGAAAACAAATCTGTTAATAAGATATTTTAACTGTGACAACAAGGAGGAGGAGAACTTTCCAAACATTCATTTATGATAATTACAGAATAATGATGGCAAAAACCAGGTAAAACATGGAGAGAAGGTTGAGAGTGCTAACAAACATGATATAACACATCTGTTCTCACAAGGGATGTATGTCTAAAGATTAACATGTCAAAGAAAATATAAAAGCAGGTGGTAACAGCTTAACTAAAGCTGGTTTGCAGCAATACAAGTATTCCTAAGAGCAACATAAAAGAAGAACAAGTACTTGAAACATTTTCTCAAACCCAAATCCCCATTGCAAAGAAAGTCAATAGACTTCCTTGAATGTCTTCAGAGTGGCAGACAGGCAATATGAATAGTGAACCCAACAGTAATTAAATGTCCCCATCAATCACGGACTGAGTAAATCAACCCTGCAAATAACACACATGTCCCACCACATCTCTGGACACTTCCCTCTGCAGCAGTGTCCAGAAACTCAGGGCATGGCCTGGGCTATTTAAAATGCCAGCAGACACTTTGGTTCAGGTCTGGAAGCAACCTATGGGTGTGCAAAACTGCAAGAGGAGGAAATAAGTGCTTCTAACCCAGCTGTGCTCACCCCACTGCCTCAGGTCTGCCCAATCCTGGAAGTCTGCAGCATCTCCAGGATGGACATGTCCTTACCTTAATCATCTGAGAGAGATCCCCAGCATCAGCCAGCTCCAGGACAATGTTGAGTTCATTGTCTTCAATGAAAGAATCCAAATACTTGATTATGTTGGGGTGGTTCAGTTGCTGCAGAGGGAGGGAATGCAAGAGGAACAGTTACAAGGTGGTCAGGACAACTCCCAGACAACGCCTGCACCTCCTGCGACCCTCGCGCAAAACCCTCCCAGCAGCTGCACCCACAGCCTGGGCTGAACTCTCCAGACAAATCCTGTGAGAAACAGCATTTCCCACTGCACAGCATCCTGGAGATGTCCTCAACAAAGAGCAATTCCACCCAAACAGGGTGAAACAACCTCTTCTACTGGAAATTCGCAAAACATTTAAAAGTAATGTCCTGAAGGATGTCTTGTTAAGCAATAACCAATTTTCCCCCCCCATTAAACAGAAACAAATCCCCAACTGTTGGTTACAGTGCTCAAGGTCTCTTTGCTCCTTAAAAGAGCAATAAAACTAGATTGAAACTTTGAAGGAGGACAATAGCACACAAATTGCACATGTCAGCTTATTTATCTGATTATTTATGCTGGCTCCTTCACTAATTCCTTTCATTTCAGTATAGCTCATTCTTATATTTACAACTGATGCTTGGTTGTTTTTTTTTTAATAGAACCCAAAAATATTGCAGATCCCCTTTCTGAATGTAAACCTTGGTATTCTTTTCCTCCCTGACTATTGAGCAACTGGCTCATGTTTACCCTTCTCTACAGCCTACAGACTCAGGCTATAACTGCATGAATTTGAACAGAAATCCCTAAAATCACAGGCACGGAAGTAATTATTTAATACTTTCAGAATGAAATTTGCCTAGCTAAACTAAATTTTTAGCCTTTTGCATTCAATAAAAATAAATGTTTAAAGTGCAACACATCTATGTTTTTAATCAACTATTTAAAATAAGCTACTAAGGCATTAAAATCACTACTTGTTTTAATCACTTAAGCACACTCTGGTTTCAGAGCCTTTATCTAAATTATCATTTTTCATGTGTTATATTTATACACACACATACATGACATGTATAGGCAAAACTGCTTTCTCCTTTACTGTGTAAGCTTTATTTGCCAATCCGAAACAATTTGTTTCACAAAACAAAACAAACAAATAAAAACCAAAACCCCCCAAAGAAAAGGAAAATAAAAAAAAGAAAAAAGCTATTATAAAAATTCCTACCTTCAAGAGGTCAATTTCTTTAATGCAATCTTGCCTTGCCTTGGCATCCATCATTTCGAAAATCTTCAAACACAAAAATACAGAAGATAAAAATGAAACAACAAAAAAGAAGTACTTTATACTTTAACAAGCAGTTGGTGTTTCCTTCCCCAATTTGTACCTCCTCTACTGTAGTGAATATTCACACAATCCCCAGATCAATGAAAGATCAGTGTTTTCTTTATTTTGAAACCACCACAGGGATAACATTGGGGTGAAACTAATTTTAGAACCCATAGGCAATATTCTAAGGAGCACGAAAAATAAAGATACAAGTTTGTGAATTTTCTGCTGTGATTTTCATTGGTTTAGTTACTATTAATTTCATACAGTAAATAAAAGACAAAATGTTTACTTTTCTCTTTTAAACAGACACAGCTTCCACTGATTTCTCTGTAATAATTAACAGTAACTCTGAGCATTAGTATTCATTGTGCAGTGATCACTAAGTCACTGGAAATGAGTTTGCAGGATCTGTTGAAGGATTAATGGAAAATTTCTTCAAACAAAATGTTGTTCTGAATACTGCCCAGCACTTCATCCAAGTTTAAAAAATCTACACTTCTGACATCCAAGTTTTCACAAATTTTCTCCAACTCCACCAGCAAGCTCCAGTCTCTTTCCCTTCCATGTTCCTGTGGTTCAGCTGTGGTGGGACAGCAGCTCCTCATGGCACCAGCACCACCACAGGGCCTCGCTGCTTCACAAATGTAACTACAATTTGGTGAAGCCTTTCCACGAGGCAAGAGGTGAAATTCAGCATAAATACGAAAGGGCACCAGAGCTGTGTAATCCTGACGCGGACACAGGGAGCCCCTGTGGGGTGATGGGGGATGAAGGCCCTGCAGGGCAGAGTTTTCTGCCTCTGGATTCCCCGGCAGGCCTTGGAACATCCCCGTGCCACCGGAATCTCACCTGCACTTTCTTCAGTGCCACGGGTTTCCTGTCCAGAAGACAAGTTGCTTTGTAAACTTCGCTGAACTGGCCGCGTCCGATCTTCTTCTCAATCTGAAAATCTGCCAAGGTGCAGCGATACGGGTACGACGTTAAATGTCTCTGTCAAAGGAAAGGCAGTCAGGGAGCTGAACGAGCCACGCGGCCCCTCCTGCTCTCGTGGCCAAGGCTGCAGCCTGGGCTGAGCGGGATGGAGAGCAGCCCCACCACAAACACATTCACTCCTCACAGATGGAGCGGTAACACAGGCTGGAGGAAGCCAAATGGCTTCATTAGAAAGGGAATTAAAGTCTCGCCTTCCGTGTAAGTAACTAATTAATCCCAAACCGCTCTCCCTCGTTCCACAGCCTCTCCTCAGCCCTGCCTGCCCTTGTCGCCTGGGATGCTGCAGCCGAGCAGTCCCAGGTAAACACCCAGCCAGGCAGGGAGACACAGCCCAACGAGGAGCACGGCCTCCAAGGACCGTGACTGCTCCCAAGAGCCCTCCTGCACTCCTCTGTAATTAGCACGGCTGCCAAACAATATTTAAAAAAGAAATGATGAAAATTAATTACTCAAAGTTAGCACACGTGCCAAGTAGAACATTTTTGAGCTTCAGAATCTTGAGCTGTTTCAGTTTGCACAAAAACCCACAAAAAGAGAAGTTCCCAGCTGGCAGAGCTGGGTGGGGAAGGGTTTCCCAGGATGAGCCATGGCCGGGGCCGGAGCACTGCGAGGTGGAAGGAGCACCCATTGCACTGCCAGCTCCTAACGCAGAGGGGGCTGCGACTGACACTTGGCATGGGGAAAGCTTTCAGCCAGCGTTGGGACCTGCAGCTATTTCTGAAGGCAAGTCCCACCAAAAGAGGAAGGGAATTCCTCCAAGTGCTTCCTTCAAGCAGTTCAGGGCATGGCTCCCTTTAAGCACACTCCGGTCTCACCTATGCTCTGGAACACGTCACCAGCTATTAACTGCAATCAAAGTTTGGGTCAGCTCTCAGTGCTCGTGCTGTGCTTGGAATTATGCTCCATTCACAGAGGGAACAAAAACCAAACCAAAATTAAAGTCTTGGGATTCATTTCTTCAAGTTTGGCAGTGTACACTATGGAATAAACTGGGAGCATCCTCTCAGTGACGAGGGAACAGGCATCCTACAGTCACCAGATAAAGGCAGAAGGCTGCAATTGCTTTGCTTTACTGTTTACATACATTCCTCTCTAAGTTACTAAATTATCACCAGAGTAAGGCAACACAGGATGAAAGCAAACAAATATTCCAATTAATCAGCCACTGCAGCCTCCTCTGTTCAAACTGCTTGCAGCCTCTCTTTGCAGGGGTCTGATAAACAGAACCACTCCTCAATACCTGTCCCAGTGGATGGGAACACTCAGCTCATCCCAGGCAGTGGAGCAAACACCAGTGCCCTGCACTGTTTGCCTGACAAAGCCAGCACAGTCTGCACACAGGATTTGTCCCATTTGCCCGGTTCCCACCAGGAACATCACTGCTGCCCGACTGCTTTACACGCGAGCTGCGAAGCGAGTTCCTTGACCTGTACAGACAAACTGCTCTCCCCAGGCAAAACAAAGGTGTCAGCACATAAACCTACAAAGCACTTTTTCCTCATTTTAAAATAGTAAGGAATCACAGCATTTCATTCACCATGTCCATGTGCCTCCTGAGATGTTCTTGAGCAGTAAGAAAGTCTGAGCAAAATCTTTTCTAACTTGGAGTCACCATTCAGAATAGAAGCAGCACTTCTAACAACATTTTATGAGGCAAAGACTACAAAACTTTATTTTTCAGAAAGAAATCTACATTGAAATCAAGGACAATTTCCACTTGCCTTTCCTAAATCATTAAAGTATGTGTTTACACCAAGAGTGCTTAAGTGTAAATTAATATTTCAAGCACATGCCCAGAAATATCTACCAACTTCTGAACTTGAAAACATAAATAAATGTTAGCCAAGAGCGAGGGGAATGTGCCCCAGCCCCTGCTGATGCTGGGGGTGATGCTGCCCATGCCTAGACACCTCTGCTGATGTGTTCTGGCACCGCCAGGACTGCAGCTGCACATTTACATATGCAATGACCTAGATTTGCATGGGCTAGCACAAGCCATCAGACCTAATTAAAGTAATGGAGCTTTCAGAGAGGGCAGGAGATGTTTGATTACAAAACAAACCAGGAATAATCCTCAGGTGAGCCCAAACGGTACCAGAAATTTCTCTACTGATCACAGGCCACTTTTCCTGATGTTTAAACTTAACCTTCCCTTAACATAAGCAGGACACTCAGCTGAGTCCCCTACAAGGACACACAGAACACCTGAGGAACGCCTTCCTTCTCAGAGTAACACCCCTCTAGTCTGGCCTTACACACATTTCACTTATTTCATCACTTTTGACACGGGGCACTCTGTTGTTTTCAAGTTCTTCCACAATTAACCACCACCATTTTTCAGGAAGCTGGCAAAGAACCAATCTCTATTCATTCAAACAACTCGTGATCTTTATTTCTGCGAACCTCAGAGTTTTCATGTACAGATATAAATTGTGTGTGGTAGGACACCACCAGCATCTTTGGACTTGTTCATTAAAAATACATTTTCTCATTTTTAGGACAGATTTAGGCTCAGGTTTCCAGAAGTGCAGTAAAATCAAGTCCCTGCCACTACAGATTAGGAGTCAAGGTCAACAAAGGAGCTTGAATTAAAAAAAAAATAAAAAAAAGAAGAAAAGGGGAGGGGAAAAAAAACCAACCAAGCAAAAAGAACCCCAGCCACTGGACACTATGAAAACTGGGCTGTTTGCACATTTCTGTTCCCAGAGCAGCTGTAGGAAGGGCACAGTGTGGGGAGAACTTGTTTTGAGACAAAGGCTGTTCTCTTCATGCACACAAGGAAGTCTCATTCTTCTCCAACTCCGTGAAAAAAAATAGCGCCAAAGATTAAAGTCAAAGAATTCCTCATGCAAATAAAAACCCCATTCATATTTAAGAAGAAATGCAGAGATTATTCTAAGAACAAGCTCTTCTGGACATCTCCTCTGACACACATGCTCTGTGAGATGGAACCACTGGTACCAGAGCACAAATTCCAAAGCTGGCAAGAGCAGGCAATGGCAGCCCTTGCCACAGAACTTCAGGGAGAATTTTGCCAGGGCTTTTTAACATTGAATTTTGAGGTGTTACAAGACTGTCTGCAGAACAGAATTAGTAAGGTTTCATAACACTAAAAATGAAACAATGAAACAAAAGCTTCAGTTATCTTGTACACACCCAAACAGATTCAGGCAAGGATTCCTGGGAGTCTCCACATCCCAGACTATAAAAGAACCCAAACACGGGGAAAGGCAGGATTAGGAAAGTTCCCTGCTACAGATTTGCTCCTTGGATGTAGTTTGTACTTAACAATCCTCCATGCTGGGGGCTGTCTGTGGCAGAGCCACCAGAGGCACCTGGGCAGGCAGGAACACAAATTCCCAACTGAGCAATTGGAGATTCCACAGCTCCCTCCACATCCTGCTCTAAGGACAGGCAGGGAGGACACCCACACACCCTGAACACATTTGTTGTATTTTTATTTTTCTTAATGAGTAGTTGTTCAGAATTTATGTTCTGGGATGGGGAAGAAAAGTTTTTTCTTAACCTCCAGAACAATTTGTGTTTGGCCAATCTACCAAATTTACCTCTTTGTCCATGGAAAACCTGAACAGCCCTGAGAGAACTGGGGGAACAGCTCTGCCTGTACCTCTAAGCCCTTGTTTTGGGCCAGGGAGCACCCTGAGAATGAAAACAAAACTATCATAAATGCGGCCCCACTGCAGAGCCAGGCCTGTCCTCTGCTCCCCCAGGGGGAATCCAAGCCTGAATGGGCTGAGAAAGGGGAATGTTCACTGCTAATTGCACAATACAGAAACCCAGAGTGCTAATGTTAATTAATAATAAAGTCAGTTGTTTCAGTGCTGATTGGCATGTGGAAAACAGGCACCAGTCAGCCCTGCACAAAGGGCTGCAGGCATTTAGAGTATTTGTAATCAACCTAAAAACTGTTAAGATTAGTTAACCAATGGTTAGAAAGTCAGACAGTACAATCTTCAGATGCCAATAAAAGCATCTTTCCTGTAGAGCCATGAAATGAAATATTCTTTAGAAGAGTAAAAACATACTCGCCCAATTAATTTTCTGAAATCTCATTAAAAAATTTAGCCCGACTAAGTCATACACTTCTGACCTGAATTTTAATTATCTTTACGCTGGATATAAGGTTTTTTTCTGATATTTGCAATGCATCATTAATTTTAAAGGAATGGTTTCCTTGCTTCTAAAGTGCATACTTCATCTGAGTGACATTTACTGTAACTAATTTCACCTTTAAAAGACATCTGCAGTGGTACTGGGGGAGCTCCAGCCCCTCCCGCAGAACAAGCACACATTATAAGCAATGATTTACTATCAACATCAGTATTTCAAACCCTTTTAGTATGTCCAAAATTATACACCTGCCTCCATTCAATAATGCCTACCTGAAAAGAACTTTGCATACTTTGAGACTGAAATTCCAGTGTGAATTTATGAGAACACATTAGAACAGACTGATTAAAGAAGGAACTTCTAAGCTTGCAAGAGATGAGGAAACTTTTAAAATATGGATTATCCTTCAAACAGGTAGCCAAGTAATTATTGAAGAATACATCAGGTTTTTCAATTTGAGCTTCAGAATTAGACTACACAGTCATAAAATATCCTTCACCTGACCAGTTACCTGAAATTTAAAGTTTGCTGAAGAACTTGGCTTAAGTTACAAAGTTTCAGCATCCCAGTCAGCACAACTGGGATCTATCCTGGGGGTATCCAGATATTCTGTGCCTATCTAGACATTTGTACTACAACATGATGAGGGAAGAGAGAAAAACCAGCTTGGAAACAGTAGGACAAGGTGATGTTCAAAAATAAACTAGAATTACCATAGAAATAATCTCTTAACAGCTCTGCTGCTAAGATGTGAGTATATAAAAGAGTTATTTAAAAGTGAGTTACTGTATTTATTTAGTACAAAAACTAAGTGAAAAATTACAACTCTATATTTTTATACCACTGATTTACTCCTAAATAATTTTTATTGCTCACTGCTATAAACACTAAGTAATCTGGAGACTTAAATAATTAACACCTTCACTCTGAAACATTACTAGAAAATGTTCTCCCTCTTGCTGATGATCTTCCTTGGGGTATTTCTGGGTAGGTATGAGGGCCAAAAGCCAAAACTGTGATTTTGTTGGACATTTAACATTTTTTTTGGTATTACAGATAACTTCTAAGTATCCAGCATTACTCAAAAGATTTCATCTTATTAACTAAACTACAGCAGTTAAAGACAGAAAGAAAAGCTTGACACGCTTACTCATATTCTGTACTGGTGAGTTATAAAGCAGAAACAACACCTCTGTCAGAACTGACTGAAAAAGAAGCTTTAGGAAGCAGCATAGTTACAGGAGAAGCTTCTGGGAGAGGAGCACATTGTCTCTGGTATTTGGGGGGCTGGCACAGGAGTTTGTACTGAGAGGGCTGGAAGGAAGGGAAGGCCAACCCATACGAAGCTCCCTCCTCATGTAAACCTCTAAGAACTCATGTTCTGGGGTTTGCTTAAGTTTTTAATCTCTGCCATTAATGACATTTCTCGTAAGACCAGCTTGGTCCTCCTTCCCTCCCACAAACTGTTACACAGCATGTCTGTATTATTCAGATTTTCAGAAGAAAGAAAGGATGTAATTTCAGGTTCTTCCACATAAAAAGGACCAGAGCTTTAAAAAATTATATATAAATATATTCCTGAAAAATGGAAAACCAGAAATATGTCATCAGCAACCCTATCATGCCACCAATGTAAGGCTTTTAAACACTACCTTTTTAATATGCATTTTTTCCAGTTCCTTGGTAGACTGCATATTTTTGTTATTCAGGTCTTTTTACATTATTTTGACAGCAAAACCAAAGGAAGCCTTCCTGCAATTCTAATTCCAAATTAGATCATTCTCAGAACAGTTTACTAGAGCCCTCCATTAACAGAACTTGGGTATTACCAGAGTTGAGGGGAGGTTTCACTGAACAATGACCATACAGCAAAATGAGCCCACTCAGCATCAGCATCACAGCAGAACACAGATTATTAGCTACTAATTACACTTAACTATGTCATTACAAATTCTAACATGTGCTCCAAGATGCTATGAATGTATCTGCTGCACAGGAACACTTCCTAATCCTGTTCATGAAATAATTACAGGGGCACTATCCTGCCAAATGAGGCAGTAATTAACCCTAATTGCTCAAAATGCAACTGGCTAATTCTAGGAGATTAATCAAGGGGATTCAATTATTATTAAATGACTTAATATGACAAATTGCTACATTAGGAGAGGGGGCTTTGCTCCACACCACGGTACTTTCCCAGCAGTGCATTCTGAGTGCAGAAAGTCCCCCTGAGCAGAGCCTGTTCTGGGCACTGCCGGAGCTTTCCCAAGGACAGCTCCTGCCCCGGGACCCCGGATCCCCCCTGGGCTGCACGGTGGGAGCAGCAAAGGATCAGCCACCCCTCCCCACAGTCACAATTCTCTTCCTTCTGACAGCTGCACAATTCTCTTCCTTCTGACAGCTTTCCACCACGCTTTTGGCTTGTTCCTTAAAATAACATCAGGGCAAAACTGAATTGCTCTGATCAACAGAAAACAGGCTGAAAAGTCAAGCAGCCAGAATTCACAAATTCCACAGACTGTGGGCAAATCCTGGTTTTAACTCCTGCAGAAAGGCAGGAAGAGAGAGGAGCTGCTGCAGTGAAATCTTATTATAGTATGGACAAAATACATTGTAGGAGGAATTCCAGAGACTCACAGGGAAACTACAGTTCCATGTAGAATGAGCTTTTTCTTTTATTTGGTGATTACTTCTTCAGCATTTACTATGAAACTATAAAAGGAGATAAAACACATTTATTCACTTACACAATCATCTACTCTTCCTTTCTTCAAAGAACCAAAGACAAGAGAAAGCCAACTCAGTATGTTTTCATAAGATGATTTAAAAACACTTGCTTTAAGCAAAATTCAAACTATTTCCTTTTTCTCTTATTATAATCAAAATGAGGATTCAGGAAACTCTGGCTGGCTGACAGAATCCCAAACTGGACATTCCCTAAAACTGCTACAACTGCACTGAATACAAAAGGAGTTGGGAAAAGGCAGTTAAATGCTAAGAAATCAGGAGATCTTTATAGAATGAAGGTAAGAAAAGACAGAGGGACAGGGATCAGAGACAGGTGCACTTACCTGAGGATCATGCTGGAATTCCTGCCCCGGCAGCTTGCACAGAGGGTTGTTCTGGTCCCCAAGATGATGAGGATGGTTGTGCTGCCCTTCCATGGTATCATACCAAACTCTGCCTCTCGGTTCTGCTGGGGCAAAACAAGGGAGACATTGGAGTCTCAGTGCCTCTGCCTGGGCCCACGAGCGGCTGCAGCAGGAGCCGAGCGCTCCCTTCCCCGAGCGGCCTGGACACGGCCCGGACACAGCCCGGACACAGCCCGGACACTGCACGGACACTGCACGGACACTGCACGGACACTGCACGGACACTGCACGGACACAGCCCGGACACTGATCGGATACAGCCCGGACACTGCACGGATACTGATCGGATACAGCCCGGACACTGATCGGACACTGATCGGATACAGCCCGGACACTGCACGGACACTGATCGGATACAGCCCGGACACTGCATGGACACTGATCGGATACAGCCCGGACACTGCATGGACACTGATCGGATACAGCCCGGACACAGCCCGGACACTGATCGGATACAGCCCGGACACTGCACGGACACTGATCGGATACAGCCCGAACACTGATCGGACACTGATCGGACACTGATCGGACACGGCTCTGTCCGAGCTCGGCCTGCCAGCAGAGCCAGTGCTCAAAGGGCCCAGGGCAGCTCAGAGCCCCCCACCTGCGGAGAGTGCCCAGGAAAACCACCAGGATCACCAATATTGCTGGAATTGTTTCACAAAACACAAAAGAGCCCAAAATGGGTTTATTGGGTCAGTGGCGGACACTGGACACTACTTTTGTCACCTCTAACACTAGCTACTGTCACTTCCCCAAGGACTGTGGTCCCCAGTCACTTAGGGGACATTTAGAAAGCTCTGCCCATCTCCATTTGTAAAACAAAAGTGACAGAAAGTCCCTCCAGACTGTTGCCACTTTCTTTGGTCAGAAGATAAACCCACCATTTTTCTTCCTCACCCCCAAATTACAAGTTTTTATGCAAGACTGGCAAAACACAGGAAGCAGAAGCTACAAATCATATTGGATTAGATGAGATTGAAGTGTTGTAGGAACAACAGACAAAGAAAAATTCCATAAATTTTTTTAAGTCTTTTTTTAAAAGACTTCGCTGCAGTTTCAGGCCAGCCCAACACAGCAATCAGAAATGAGAGCCTGCTCCCCTTCCAAAATGGTACCAGAACATGCAGAAGTTGTAAAGAGTTACCCAAAAGAGGTGTCCCCAGCAGTGGCAGGGCAGCTGTGGGACATGTCCTCCTGTACCTGCAGTGAAAGAAGAGACTGAACACACCTGGGTTTTCCAGCCCTTCTAGGAAACAAAATGCATACCTGAGCTATTTGTGTCCAAGCCTGACTTGGTAATACTACCAGCTGCTCAGGGAAGCAGGACTGGATCACAGCACTCCCTGCTCCACACCAGCTCTGGGGCCAGGCCCCAAAATGCAGTCACAGCATTTACAGAACAGCCACAGTAAATACACCCACACCCCTGGCCCACAAAGGGCCATACACAGGTGCTGGTTATCCCCTACCCACACCCTGGCATTCCGAGTGCACCGTTCCTGTCCTTGGCACTGACTGAAGCCTAATGGTGACACAGGAAGATTTAGTGGCCAACACAAGCATTTGCAGAAACTTATTTCAAGAGTTTTGGCAAGTATTCACTCAGTGAAAGAACACAACCTGACCTCATTAGTGTATTAATAGTGCGTGCCTGGCACTTGGGCAATGACTAAGTCTTAATTTAAAATACAAAGGTATTTTAAATATTTGTGGGAGTGGGGGAGAAAATATGATGCAGAAGAATTTCTGCAGCAAGTAGTGCTCAATTCTTTAAACAGTTGTCTGTGAAATAAACCCTTAGCTCTGGCAGAACTTTCCCAACACCAGCTACCATAACACAGGGGGAAAGCAGAGAGATGCTCTTCTCGTCTCTCAAGCAAATGAACTTTCACTCTGACAGTCACTGAACAAAAGAGCTGCAGTTCCCTCCACATTAAACAGGTGAACACATGGGTTGCTCTCAATAAAAACAGTTTTTCAAAGTCAGTACCATGAAAATTCAGTGGGGGAAGGACAATCACTGCTAGTATGAAGAAGTTTGATTTTAAGATCTTTTTAGTCTCAAGTTTCTGTAGGTTTACTAGTAACCACGTGAAAATACTTAGATAAAATTGTCTCAATACTGGCATTAAAGTCCCCTATGAAATCCCTACTTTATGTTGTACTGCTGGAACTATCTTAATTATTTTATTACTCAAGATTTGGAGAAAGGCTGTTTACTTGAGAGAGCCACATGTTCTCTCTCTTCCAAGACCACACGCACAGAGCAAACCCTGGTTCCAGCACCTGGCTGCCCAGCCCCAAGTTCCACAGGAACCAGGAGGTGCCACATTCCCAGTCCCGGCAGGGAGACACATCCAGGCAGTGCCACTGAGGTTCCTGCAGCCTGACACTGACCCAGCCAGGCACCCCATGTGTCCTGCCTTCAAAAGGACTTCAAACCCAGGGCAGGGATCCACTGCTGAACACGGGAACCTGAACAATCTGACCACAGCCCAGGCTGGGCATTCCCAGTGGAACCGGCACTCCTTGGCTCCAGAAGGAAACTCAAGGACAGTCCCTTGCTGGGAGGGAGCAGCAGGGGAGGGCAGTTCAGAGCCCAGGAGAGCTGCCACGAGCAGGGGCAGGATCTGCACTCAGGCACTGCTTGTTTGAAGTGCTACAGCTGGAAGCAGAGGAAGGAGTAAGAACAAAATAGCAGCTTTGAAAAGAGCCAGCAGAGCTCACATGGCAGCACGGAGCCGCTGACACCTCGGGACAGTGTGTCCTGCCCCAGGCTGTCAGCTCAGCTATTCCGGGCCTTGGCACTGGACAGGGACAGTGAAGGGGAATCCCCAGGAAGGGGCTTCACAGAGGATCTTCAAATAGCAGCCAACAACACACAGGCACTGTGCTACATCACAAAAGGCACACTCTTAACACTGGCCCATTTTCATTTGACATTGTTCTAACTCTGCACTTTTCCTTTTATTCCTGCTTCCAAATTTCCTAAAAAGATCTGCAGTATCATACATTTTCACACTGAGATTTGACTATGACTGTAAATCAAAACATCCTTAAATTGCATTAAGCATCACATATCTTTCCAGAAAGTGAATAAAAGAACAGGATCATCTGGAAAACCAGGACCATAATGGGAAAAATGACCATAACCCACATGGGATGAGCAGGTCCTTCTCCCACACTACTGTCACCTTACTGCTGCACAGTTATTACTCCACACAGCGAAACTCAAGGGTAACCTGGAGTTTTTCCAAATACAGGGAAAACAGAAACCCTCTTGTACAGTCCAGCTCCCCTGCTCATTCCCAGCTGCAATTCCTCCCTGACTGTCCTTACACTTCATCTCTTGCACCTAATCAGTAGAGAGCAAAACACAAAACCCCATCAAACCCTTGATACCTTGCAGGTACCTGACAGGTGGGATTCTCAGGACAGAACAGCCCAGGGCATTTGGTAGCAAAGGCCAGGATCATTAGTTCCCAGACACTCATTAAGGAGCAGAACCTCATCAGCATCCTGGAATTCGGTCCCAGCCGCCCCGGTGCCCCGGGTGCTCCTCGGTGAAGCAGCTGTGACCAGTCTGATCGGGTATCACCATGTGTCTCGGGATGCCTCCAACTCAACTGCAGGCCAAATTATTTGCTCCCAGATGTATAATCACCATGACAGGACCGTGCACCTCTCGAGCAGGCAGCAAAGCAGCAGCTTGTGTTCAGTGTTACAACTGTTTTCTGTACCAGCACTTTTCACCTTCCTGTAAGACTCACCAGCTGCTGCATGTGCCCAGTGCTCAGCCCTGCTGCTGCCCAGCCCACACACACACACACACACTGTACACACATAACTGAGTGATAAACATACATATGTGACACATACAAATCTGCTTTCCCCCACTTACTGCACGCCTCTCTTATCCCCCTTCCACACAGGGACTTGTGGGGGAGCCAAGCAGCTCTGTTTGGGTACCTTGACTAAAACAAAGCAAAACAAAATGGCAACACACGTATGGTTCCAGAAATCCACAAGCTGATTAAAACCAGTCAGGTGTGTGATTTAACCTACTGCACAAATGTCCATTTTTCACCACCCAGGGCACTGAAGTGCAGCAGTGCACACCCTGCAGATATTGCAGCGATGCCATGCCCTGGGAGCCAGGCTGCCACTGCTCACTGCACGCTCCCCAAAGGCTGCAGAAATGCAAACTGTTTTACAGAATAAACACAACCACATCAGCACCACTTTCTTCCTCTCCACTGCCCAATAATATTCTTCCTCTTCCTTGCTCATAAAATAAATCTGCCAGGATACTCTATGAGATTACCTATATATTTAAATGATGATCTGGGCTTATGATTACATTATCGCTGTGGTTCAAGGTATGTGCTCTGGGGAAGGCAGCCCAATCCTAGGAGAGTATTATTTTCGAGTGACTTTTATTGTCCATTACTTTCCACCATTTCTGTCACAGCTATGATGCCTGGTAGGAATAGTTCACAACAGAAATATCTTTGTCGTTAGTATTCTCATTGCAATTTAGTCAGATCAACCTTTAAATCTCATCCATCATACTGAAGAGCTTTGGCAAAGCGAGCACAGTAATACATGCTTCCATGCAAAACCTAATTACAGGCTAGGTTAAAAAGCCTACCCCGTTCCTTCTGCAGTGCAAGGTGACAGGAAATCCTGAGCATCCCTTGGTTTCTCACTCTCCCTTTTTGCTGGTGAAGTGCGTAACCCGTTCATTACAGCAGACTGATTCTGTCTGGCACATGACAAACTTACTTGAACCTAACAATTAAACTTCTGACAGCGTTTCCAAAAGCAGAGAGTATTTACTGTAAATGCCTGACAATTTTTTTCCTCTCTGCTCATCTCTCTCAACAGTCACCTTATGATGACTGGAAATTACCATAAGCAAATAGCAGTCTAACATCCAAAAAACCCCTCATGTTAATGTGAAATACACACCTGCCAACACTGAAAAAATATGAATATGAATGTTAAAGGAAACAACATGAGGAACAGCACTGAAATA